AAATTAATTTATATTAGTGCAGAGTACGATGTGTATGTGGCAAAGAGAGCAATAACATACACGTCACATCCATACTAGATTCGACAGTAACTATTTCTTTTATTGGGAATGAAAATATGCTGAGAAAAGAATAACCATTAAGCTCAGAATGATTCTTCAACATTTTGGACACATCAGTCACAAACTTCTCTAATTTTTCTATCGGTCTAGAAAGCGCAGATTGAATATTGCAGACTGTTGGATCATTTGACAAAGATGCACTGTGCCTCGAATATTGTGTGACTCATTCAAAGGGAGACAAACTCTTCTTCAGCACATATTTTTTTTAAGTGGTCTCTTTTTAAGGAACATTGATATCTTTCCAAGAGGAGGTTTGTTATCAAAAGAGACAACAAGAAAATTCACATGGATGACTTATTTTTCACATTGTTAAAGAAACATGCAAATTATCTTTTAACTGTGGGTTCACTAATTCACCCACACCGGCACCTACACTCGCATTTTAAACAATACACATTTGCTTTTTTTTTCTACCTAAGACGCACCGTGCATATCCGACAAAACTGCTGCATACCTTTTCGACATTTTTTTGATTCTACTAGATATAATGAATCTAATGAAGCAACTTGTCATTTATAGTTTGGCAAAGCGCGCAGATTTTGAAGATACACTTGAAAGAAAGTTCCACTTCGTTCTCCTAGGATTTACTGCCTCTTCTGTGCTAAGAACGTTATTAGCAAGCGAAAGCCTAGATATATGCCGATCAATATTTATTGAACTGGGAGAACTGACTGATAACATCCTGATTTGTCCAGAAACATGCAGCATAATCAAAAGGTAGGCTACAGGAGTAGCTGTGTACTTTCTCATCTTCCAAATAATTCTCCTCAATTTCTTGTTATTGCGTTCATGTAAAAATAACTAGAAAGATCTATTTCAGAAACCTATGAATCTACCAAAATCATTATGTGACAGATTCCTTCTTTTCAAAAATGCTCTGATTACTTTTACCATCGAGATCTATTCATAGATAATGTTATTTCTTCTAAGTATACTTTCTCCATTGTTTGCAAATAAAATAAATCTACTGTGTTGCTCAAATTCAGTCAAGTGACAGAGAACCCAGATACTACTTTTCCTTGTTTCACATCGCTGGTTACTTCATCTTGTTATCGACTCATAAGTAAAGTAACATATTCCCAGTATTGAGTGATACGCAGAATTTTTGAAATAATTCATTATGAACTAAATGTTCACATTGAAATTGTCTCTTCGCTCTGCTTTCCGCTTTCGACAACCTTATTATGAGTTCCTCACCAAGATTGGTTATTTTCTAGTATCCATTTCCTTTGGGCTTTCCATTGCTGCTGGTGTACAAGCACCCTTCTTTCCGAAGTACGAAGAGATCTCGAAATTTAAGCGAATTTGGTTTATTTTTTTTTGCTTATTGAAACAACAGTCAGAGTTGTACTTCAAGTGACTTTCATCGATTGATGTGTTAATTCACCTGTATTCAATCGTTTTGATAATAACCACGATTGTTTTTGTTGAGCAAGAGCTCGTTGCAGATGGCCTACTTTCGTACGATCAAATTTTACGTATTTACCTGTTTGTATCATATTCTGGACTTATATTGATAACCATAGTTTTCTGTTGTTGCCCTTGCATCTCAACGAGATCTGTTGATGATGAAGATTAAATAATAAAGTTGAAACTTACAATCGCAACAGTGAGGGACGATCTTCAAGTGTGATTCTTAACTTCGAATGGACTACATACCAGTTAGTAGAGCTTAGCAACCTAGCTTGAACTTATGTGTGGAAGTGCGTGTGGGTATGTATATGTTCATGTGTTCTATGTCTGTATTGAGATCGCTTTTCAATGCAAAGTCACCCGTGAAAGAAGTTCAGGTAAAAGAGGAGAGGATCATCAAAACTGGATAGCGGGAGAGGGTACCATTTAAAACAGTACTTTTTTACGTTTTAGTTGAATGTATATAGGTTGTTGAAAGAATTAAAGATTATACTATATCGGCAGCTATTTACATATGAACTTCTTTATATTATAGAGTTTCATTAGTATTGAAATTATCTCTTTTTTTTACTGTTTTCTGTTCATGAAAATCAAATATATTTAAATAACAAAAACATTCTCAGCAGATTATATTTTATGAAATGTTTATTAATTTTGTCTCTATTTTTGATAGGATTATTTAATAAAAAAACGAAAAAATGCTTGCAGGTTACTCTTAGACTTTGACAAATCCTAGCTCGATCTGAATTAATATTAGATAGGAGATTGAGCTAGTAGTTAAATGTTGAATACAGAAAACATTTTGCTATAAAACAATATTGCTACAAGCAAAACCTCATCATCACTCACATCTCCAATAAATCTGTGGAGCGCTAACTTTTTTTTCACCTTTCGTTGCATAGGTGACTCTTCATGGAAAAATCTTCAAGTAGATGTTAACTTTTTTTATATGCATAAATGATGAAAACAATCACATTTATGACGAATTACTGGTGTTGTTTTAGTGTTATGTATGTGAAAGAAAACTCATTCATTGTTATAGTTTTTGTTCAAAACAAATTTGATTTGAATACTGTCAACAGATATATCGTAGTATTTTCCAGCTTTTCGTAATTACTCATGCTTCGGTGTAAGTCAGTTTGTTTAATTTTTCTATAGGAATGACTTCTTGAGTCATATATCGAATCAGGTCTCTTCACTGAACTTTCATACTCTTGTCGTTTAAACATGAAATTCTCATAATGCTGTCTTTAGATCTCTTTCTTTTCTATGCAGAACGCGAAAATGAATACTCTCATACAACCAATGTAAATTAATCATTATATCAAAAAAATGTGAATGAAATGTTAAATTGAAATTCTATTACATAAAAAGTGATCAAAAGAAAACTATATAATAATTAATTGAATGCTAGAAAAAGATTTTGAATAATTGAATCAAGTTAGGCTTGATTTGCTATATTTATATTGAATATTCTGAATGGCGAAGTAAATCGATAGACGTGTTCTTTTGACAAACCATGTATGCATTTTTATTTTATTCTATCTATTATCTATAATCAAAGTAGAGGTTACGTCTTTATTTATAATGAAGAATGCATTGATCTTTTCATTCTTTGTACATTATGCCTATAGTAGACATATATAAACCATTGTAAAAAATTCATCAAGCTGTTTTTCGTAAGAATTTAAAACTTTCTTGTAATCTCAAGTTTTTCTTTTTTTATTGTTTTGCAAATCATTAATATAATTGTGCAATACTACGATTTCTATTATTCCTTCGTCTATTACATATTTATAAGCTTTTTTAATGCTTTACTGTTAATTAACAAGAGCAAAACGACTTATACCTCTTCAAAGTCTAAAGTAACTAAATATAACTCGAATTAACTTTAAATAAAAACGAATGCTGTTTCCCTTCTATCAGCTGACTCCAATAATTTATATCCATTAATATTCAACAACAAAACTCAAAGATACTGATCTCATGTGAGCATTAATCACAATTTTTGTGTGATATCCTCAAATGTTCCAATGACATACTTTCAATAGATGTGTCACAATCAAAAAAGATTCAATGACACGGACGATTCAGATGGAACATTTTAGGAGAGGCAATAGTTACATTTTGTTACTTGTCCATTTTTCCTTCTTCTTTTCATTCAATGAGCAGCAATCCGTTCGATTTAGTTGTTTTCTCACCAATTGTTCACCTTCGTTTTTACGATATGGAATAAAAATAAGTTTAGTAAACTATCGACTGATTCAAAATAGAGATCGATATTTTTCACTATTCAATAGAGAAGACTCGAAGTCATTGAAGTATACCGAAATTTTCTCTATCACCAATCGACTAGTCAGGTGAGTTCTAATGAAGAATTTCGAAAGCGACATTTTAAAGCTATTTATTTTCCTTTTACGGTTTACAATGATCTGACTCTTTATTTACGTGAAGACTGTTTGTAGAATTTCAGCAATATTAAGATAAGAGATTCAGATCATTTTGGATCTTAAAACGAATACCACCATCGACTCGGCGTGGTGCTCAGGAGAAAGATTATAGTTCTTGAATAGAACATGCCAGGAATATCAGTCTTGCATAGATCGAAAGAGAAAAATGTTTTTTTATCGACCATTTCCATGAGAAGTCTAAATTGAAAGAAAAATAGTTTCATTTAATGATTTCAAGTTTTCTCTTTTGAATAGTGAAAACCGAAAGTATCTATCTTGTTTCTATCAAAAAAAGCTATCCAAATATTAGCAACTCGTCTTTTATTTTGAATTAGACAATAGTTTTCATTTAGTATACACATAAAGCATAGAAACTTTGCAGAATCAATCAATTCCTATTACATCGTCAGTTTTTTATTTATTTATAAGGAACTGCTTCATATTATGTGACTGATGTGGCAATTTTTAATTCTTTATCACAATAGTATCAGATGAGTCATTTACAATGAATAATAATTCTGAAGACGTGTGACTGACATGAGATGTTCTTTTCCCTAGAAACAGTGAAATATATTTTCGTCATTCTTTTTGCTTTTTCTTTCCGACGATCGAATGACTCAATGATGCGTTTACTTTTGTAAGTTGACATCTACAAAATTGTTACGAATCTCAGGTACAAATAACAAAAAAAAAGTGCAGTCGAGGAAGTATTATTAACTGTGTTTACTAATACAGCATACATAAAATATGCACATGAAATTTTTGTGGTTTATTTTTATTATGAAAATATTTCTAGACAAACAGAAAGGTGACATAGTCTACAATTTACTTGATCATATTATGTGGATTAATTTAATCGTATTATCAATTCTCATTAAACTATGGACTCAAAGAGACAACAACAATTCTATATTCATGAATTAGATAATAAAGAAAACAATTTATTACAAAGTAGATAAAAATAATCTGAATATTTAATAATCTTTTTTTCGTTTTTATTCATTTTAGTAGCCATTAATGAGAACAAGTAAGTAAGAAAGAAACTTTTCCTTTTTTTCCTTTATGTTTTCATGTATTTATTTCCAATTTGATTTAGAAAAATAATTCATTCTATTGAAGATTTATCTAATGAAATCTTGTATACTATTTTTGATTATTTCGATGGATGTCATTTATACGAATCATTTGCAAATCTTAATACTCGTTTTCAAAATCTTATCATAAAATCTTTTTTACCTCTTAAAATTAACATTAATTCTAAACATGAATTCATTATTGAATATTATTGTAAGAATATTATTAATCGAAATAAATCTCGAATTGTTTTACTCGAATTATCAACTACTATAGCTGTTAAACAATCTTTAAAATTAATCACTATCAATTCATTATTTAATCGTTTACAATCACTTGTTATCAATGGTATTGTTGAACATAAACTTCAATTACTTCTTAAACAATTAGCTTCTTTACCATGTTTTCATTCATTGAATATTTTTGTCGTTGGTGAATTAGAATCTTTTGATACGATTTATAAATTGATCTTTCGTTTACCTTTTTTAAAATATAATTTGCTATCCTACGGCCCATGGAGAGTGCCTATTACATTACCAATAGCTACAAGTGAACAATATAGTTTTATTGAATATTTAAATATTGATATTATTATATCTTTCAATGAACTAATTACTCTGCTTTCATATACACCTAAATTACGTCATTTAACTTGTCAACAATTGTATAGTTCAACTGCATATATTCAAATACAAAGAGCACTTGTATTATCTTATCTAACATATGTTAATTTTCATCGATGTCATTTACAATTTTCTGAACTTGAAATATTGATTAAGAAGATCGGTTCTCAATTAAAAGTATTACATTTTACTACGTCAGATAACATAACGTTTCTTGATGTTAATCGTTGGCAAAAATTGATTTTACAGTATCTACCAAATTTATTCAAATTTGAATTTGAATATGATGAAAAGATTCCTAATGTTTTTCAATTAGGATCACATCATCAACAAATTAATCAATTTACATCATTGTTTTGGATCAAACGACAGTGGTATCTACATATTCAAATTGATGCAGTACCTTTTTCTAATAGTCGAATAATATATTCGATTCACTCATACAAGTAACGAAACAAAAGAAAAATTGTTTGTTTTCTTACTTTCTCTTTGAAGTTTAGGAAGAAATGGTATCATTTATATGAACATATGAATCAACAAGATAATTCTATTGATTTTAATTCAAAGAATTATCGAAATCGTTTGACTTCATCTTTTCAAGACGTTGAACTAACAGCAACCAATCGTTGTGATTTCGAACAATATCAATTTATTATTGAGAATATTAAATCTTTATTTCAATTAGTACAAATTACTTATTTGAATATTGATTTACGTTATTCATCGATTGATTTACTTATTGATGTCATATACAATTTACCTAATCTTAATTCATTGTGTATGTCTTGTTTACCTTTATTAGAAGTGAATATTTCAGCTGACAAACAATCAAAACTTCAGTCAATATCCAGTAATAATAAAATTACAAAGGTGAATTTCGAAAAGTTAGTAGAAATCAAACAACTTCAATTTATTATTAATCTTTGTCAACGTTTGGAATTTTTACAAGTCGAATGTACAAATAATGTGAATATTGAATTGGTTATACGTTATATTATAATGAAGTACAGAACTAAAACTCTTCTTTTTATTCATTTATTGTGTCTTCACTTTCCAACAGCAGACCAGAAAATGATTGTAATAATACAAAAGATAATTGACTCGGAAAAACTGCTTAATGACTATTCAATTAAACGTAATCTTGATAAAATATATTTGCGATGGAAATAAAAACAAATTATTTTTTAAAATAAATTGATGTCTTCTTTTACATTTAATAATCAATTAAATCTTGAATGTACTCACTTTGAAATTTTATGAAAATAGATACATATAGAAAATCAGATAATAATAGAGAATGTAGGCGTAGATAAGGAAAAAAAATCTACATCAGAGACTAAAACCGAATCGACAATTTGATTCAACAGTAATCTCTTCCTTAAGCTTACTTCAATGAAGGGATCATGTTCTCTATATCGGATGATTTTGAAAACTGTATCGATTTCTTTTTGCGAGAATACATGTACAACTGTTTTCATAACTATTCTTCTTCCCACATACCTGGTAGTTTTTAGCCTCTCGTGTGGTATTTATAGCTGCAAATGTTTTATACCGATTTAGTCAACACATCGATAGAATTCTATTACTGATATGGGAATATAATCTCATTCACTAATTGACATAATAATTATCTTTGAAAAATCTGATTGAAAAATCAAATATCGCAGTTTTCGAATCCAAAGGTTCTGAAATCGATCCGAATAAGTTTAGAGATTATTAAGTGCTTCACAGATTTGGGAATTGATATAGACTTCAACTAAAATTAAAAGTTTGCATATTGATTTTTCTAATAGATGTGACTTCCTTCAAGCAGAAGATATCTATAACAGCATTAATTATGCAAATTATCAACAAGAAAAAAACCTATTTCATGTTAAAAAATTGAAGTTCTAACATGTACTTTAGTTTCTCTTTGAAAATTATAAATTTCTCTAAATCATTAGATTTAGCATATATTGGATAGACGAAAGCTTAAATAGAACTTTATGTGGGGTGTAGACACATTTTACTCACGAAAATGAAGGGACTGTTTTTCTTCTGGTACGAACTGAACAGAAGAGAATCTGAGTAGAAATACTATCAAACCGAGTCGAATGAAAACGACATTTTCTTATCTGTATCAATCTTTTACACTTTTTATGGAACACGAAGTGACAAGAGTGTTATAGAATATATAGTATAGTTTCGCACGTCTACACCATAAATTGTGACAAACGATCATCAAGAAACTACTACACATCGTATGTAGACTAGAGGTCTCAATGGGCCGGGTCGGAACCATAAAAATCAGCCCACGGGCTATCAACCTCGACCTGACCTAGCCCATGTTTTTTTCTAAAAAACCTGGCCCGCTCATGGGTGCCCATGAGCCACTCATCTGATTGATACTTTTTCAGACAGAAATGTTGACTTACGATGCTAACTGAAGTAATTAAGATGCTAAGCATTTTATCGTATAGTATCACGAGTTTTTTTTCTTTAATTAATTCTAGCTGGGCGTACATATGTCAAGTCGTCATTGTGCCAAACTGTACTCAAAACCGGAAAATCTGAAAATTTTCATTTAAACATAAGGTGAAAGTATCAGGCTGGTAGTGGTACCAGCTTTTTCCAATCTTCCAAAAAATGTTCTACCCGCCACAAATAGTGTGAAAAAACGACAAACTAAAATAACTTAGCTGTGATATAACTAAAACGAAGACAGTAAGAAAAGTTAGGTACCACTCGGTTGACTCATATGTAGGAGAGCTGTGAATGCAGCTGATCATATATAATGAATCACATAGATAATTAATGACGAACTTTTATATGTATGATTTTCAGTTACGATTATGCTTTTATCAGATGATCATCCGCAAAGGAAATTACAGTTTTACTTTGAGAAAGAAGTTTTGATAATTTTCGTTTTTTTCATATTCGGTCCACTTCGGCCCATGGGTGCCCATTACAATTTCGGCTCATGGACCGGATGGGCCTCGACGGGCTTGACTCGGCCCATTGAGACCTCTGATGTATACTTTATACCAATGGTATTTCGTTGCAATATACTAACTACTTCTTTAATGTATTTCTGGAGGACTAACAATGGAACACTCCCGACTGATTTGCATCGTTCGAGCTCACATATTGTTGGTGGCATCATCCATCATTGCAATATTTTTTGTTTTCTCACACAAATGTATCCTCGTAAGTCGAAAGCTGCGAAGCATCAAAGTCACACAAAATGTGCATTATTTGTTCACATTGGACTTCATTGTTCGAATTGAAAATTGTTTCCTGAATAGAACTCTTTGAGATATAATATACGTCCTGCAAAATTTCAGTTAAATCTGTGCAACCGTTCTTAGTATATAGTTCCATCAAGAGTTCCACTGGAGTGTATACTCATTTGTAGAACTTTCTTAAAACTTTCGAAATAGTGAAGCTCGGCATTTTTTTGCAACAACTTGTGTCAGAATTCATTATACGCGAAATAGCTGATATTCTTATGCACTTTTTGTCGCTCTGTAACGAACTATGTATAAAGATTTTTTCGTTCTGCGCAGCAAACACGCAAAATGAGAGAACAAACGAACATTTGGTTGTGTAGTTGCTCAGCTCATTACTCTCCATTTTGTAAAATTTAATGGGACGTATACAACGTAAGGACACAATTCGATATTACTTTTTATGTCTCATTTCATGTATTACCATTGGGTGTAGTCTTTTTATAATTAAATTTCACTTGAACAATGCACAACCATCGATATGTATTCCTAAAAATCCTGATAATGAAATAGTTGATCGTCAAGATGAATGGCAATATCAAAATAGCATCACTGGTCAATGGTATCATTGGAGAACAGTATATAAAAGACCAGATAATCAACCTGAATGGCGTGTCAATTGGTTAAATGTTGCTCCGAAATCATACCTTGGTGTTATTGTCTATTTGGCTACATACGGCGAACTTAAATCGCTTCAGATGTCACTTGCCCAGTTATCTCGTTTGCTATTAAATAATCCACGGCCTGTTGCCATTTTTCATGAAGGTGATCTTAGTGCTAATCACATTCAACAACTTCTAGCTCAAACATTAGGTAATCATACTCCATTAGCTTTTGAATGTATCAAATTTTCTAAGAGTCCGATTCGAGTTGAACGTGCTCATCAAAAATGGTCACCTAAATATTTCCATATGTGTCGATTTTTTACTCTGATGCTTCCAAATCATCCTTTATTAACACTATTTTCATTTTATTGGCGACTTGATACGCATTCCTATATATTTGGAGAAAAACCTATTGAAGATCCATTTGATATCATGCAAAAACGAAACATTCAATATGCTTTTACTATGGCTAATATAGACGATAAGATACATACTGTTGGTTTATGGTCAACTTTTCATGAATTTCTCAAAGATCATTGTATGAAACCTTCAATAGCTTTTCGTGAAACACAAACTAACTGGTTCAATAGCTATTCAATTGCGATTATTTATACAAACTTTGCTATAGCTAATGTTTCTCTTTTTCGAGATGATTCATTGATACGAGCTTGGCTTCATAAAGTTGATCGTAATGGTGGTATTTATCGTTATCGATGGGGTGATGCACCTATTCATACTTTAGTTCTTACTCAATTAGTTTCACGAAATCAGATTGCACGTTTTAGATATTTTGGCTATATGCATCGAAATGAATATGTCTGCGCTAGTGGCACAACATTTCGTTTGTGTAAAGCACAAACAAAACCATTATTTACAGATCCTACAATGAAGTATTCTCAGCAACCAGTTGGATGTAATCCATCTTCTGAAAATCCTTTGTGTCATTATTATCCAGAAATTATACTGTGATACATATGTCTGTGTTCAGTTTTTTATCATATGATAAATTTTTTTTTAATGAAATAAAAATACATCGATTGATTACTTCAGCAAATATCAATATGTGCTGCTTAATTATCATTTTATTACAAAACCTATGAAAGAAATGATACAATGTAACCTTGTTTGTAATGTAGTGCAGCCCTTAAAAAGAAACCATGCATAGATCAAATCATTTTATTTGCCGTACTTTTAGTGTTAAAAAAAAGTCGAGAAGAAAAAAAAAGACGGAGACTCTTTCTTCATTCTTTACCTTCTCTTCACCAAAATCATTTATAGAAACTATACTTTTACAGTTAAACATAGGAAGTTGACAGACAAAAAAAAAAAACAGTTCAAAATAAGAAAATTCAAAGAGACAGTTTTGGAAAGAACATCTGATCATATACATATGTCTTCATATAGAAAAAAATGAAAATGACATAATTTTAAAAAAGAAGATTATACCTATTACTGCACTAGCTAATGGTAAAAATCACTGTTCTCAATATGTCACGTATTATTGTATTTCGTATCTTCACTGCTAATATGTTTCTTTCATTCTATATTCAATTTTGATACTTGATGGAGTTGGAAAAAGTTGTCATTTAATTTTAAAGCTTAGATAATAATAATGAGTGCACTTTTTTATTTTGATATTTCTGCTTGATTTATTTCTCTCGTAAAAAAAGTCGATAGATTCTTTTCGTCACGTGTGATTGATGAAGGGTAAAAAAAAACACATCATTCTTTTTGGTCTACTATTTTCATTTAAATATAAACTTAAGATTTATTTTTTCGGAATAAGTAAAGTAGATATGGAATATAGTGTGGCCACATCCACACTCAAATTTGCCTCTGCCATTCGATCAAGCAAATCAAATGATAGGAATCTACATGCTTATCCGAGTGCGAAACTATATGTGATAGGGAATAGTGATCTTGATCAGTTCTCAAACTAAATAGTTCTCCGATTAGAAAGCTTCTTGATGCTAATACTTTGTCAATTCCATCGATTTATGTTCTGTAAAAAAACTCATAACACAAGACGATCTTATTGAGACATATGACATAAATCTCTTCTCAATTCATGAAAAAAAGATTGAAAGATTGTCTTTGATTGAGTTCATTCTTCACGCTGAAATACATCAGTTGAGTTAAGTTATGAGTTCGTTTTTATGTATCAATCAACGATTTTTATGGTTTCTTTTAGTTTACAATATGAATTTATTTTGTTCCACTATCATTTCTCATGTTAAACCTATGCATTGATTGTGCGACACGTAAAACATGATTCATTTTCGAACATCAATCGTTCACT